TATATTTATATATAAACATGACTATTATAATATTGCCTTACTAGTTTTTATTTTTGATTGTTTTAAAGAAAATTTAACGCTAATTATACAAATCTAATATAGTGTTTTATTTTTTATTCTTAATATTTAAATAATGTTTAAAAATATTTAATTTAATAATCACTATGACATTTATCTATTGTCATGGTATTTTACTCTCTTACTTAAATATATTTTACTTTCTTCCACTTACCGTAAGTAAGTTTCTTATATCGCGTAAAATTATATCACGTAATAATTAAATAAATAAATATTTGATATAAATTATTGAAGTGACTTTCAATGCAGAGTTACTCTTTTCAATGTTCACAATAGTTTTATGATAACATATGCCTGTCGGTATTATTGGTAACCGCGTCGGTATGTATCATCAATAACCGTGCCGATATATGGATTAAATCTCGAGCCGCTGGCGCGTGGTAGTAGGAGGCGGTCGGAGGAGAACTACTTTTCCTCTCCCCCCTCACACACACGGCGCACGATATGGTGCTTTGCACTGTACACAGAACCGCACACACACACACACACAAAACGCAAGCGTTACGCAAGCCGCATTTACAGCCGCGTTCGTGCTCGCACACGTGTTCAAGTCAGACATATTCAGCGCGTTTATACAGGGTGTCCCAGAATTGGTTTAACATCTCTCGTAGGCAGGTAGAAGGAATAAAACTGAGGTAAAAAGTCCTATACCATTTTGCTATATTCGCAATAGTTACTGAGATTTTAATTAACAAAGATCCGCGAATAAGCATGCATCGGGCTGTCTTACGCGCTTAAGACTGCTCGCCGCTCTTCGCGCACTTACGGTGTTACCTGTAGCAGCATATGGGAGGAGCTAATATAACAGCATATACTATACCATATACATATTAAAATGTAATTGTGCGAAGCGCGCCGGGCTGTCCTACGCGCGTAAGACAGCCCGATGCACGCTTATTCGCGGATCTTTGTTAATTAAAATCTCGGTAACTATTGCGAATCTAGCAAAATGGTATAGGACTTTTCACCTCAGTTTTATTTCTTCTACCTCTCTACGAGAGATGTTAAACTAATTCTGGGAAACCCTGTATATTGGTATTTGCATATATTGTGAATAAATAATTTTTAATTTTTTTTGTATTATGCTATGTTAACGCTTCTATTCAGTGTCTATTAAACTATTATTAAAAAAACGTTATTACGTCTAGAATGGACAAATGCTGTGAGAAAATTACTGGATAGCTATATCTCCAATGATAAATTTATAAATGTAACTGAAGTGCATAGACTGACAGGTGAGAAATATTTTCAAACTGTTCAACAAAAGATGTTAGGGAATTTCTTATAAGGCTTAGTGATAACATACAAAATGTAAAAAATATTATAATATCAATTAACTACAATTTTGCGATGTAAAATATTAAGTTATACGAATATTTATAGAAACACATAGTAACTCTGTTCTTTTACTACAAATTTCCAAAACTATAAAAAACTCTTTAAGAACTCATACAATTAAATTTTTCATGTTGGAATAATGTCGAAAATGTATGTAATGCTTGTAATACTGTATGAATAGTTGAAAAAATGATGTAACAGTAACAAGTCATATATATCCTCATTTTACAATTATTAATATTTAAAACTATTAATATTAAAACTACAAAAGTCAATTGCAATATTAAAGATGTATATACTACAAAAACACATCTTGGTGGCAATACATATAAAGTTATTAGTGCAACTTTTCATCATGGGGAAAATTTGAATATTGGATGTTATACAATTATAGTGCGTACTAAAAACATAGACTGGATAACAATACATAATACAAAGATACAAAAGTGCAATTGACCTAGAAATGCTAAAAATGCATATTTTTCGCAAAAAAATAAAATAAAATGTACATATATTTTTACTATTGTATTAAAAAAAAGTAGTGAAATCACTCTAAAAAAAGTCTTTACAAAAGAAAAAACATACGCCAAGTACAATACACAAAAACTATCCCAATATACAGACTATCTATTACATAAATCTTTTTTCTGTATAAGTAAAAAACAGACAATCAACGCAATTAGCCAAGTACTGGACTTAAGACTGCAGACCCCATAAAACGGGCTTAAAACAAAAGTAAAGTACAAAAACTTGGCGTGCCCGGATTGTATATATATACAGGGTGTCTCAGAATTGGTGTAACATCTCTCGTGAACAAATAGAAGGAGTAAAACTGAGTCAAAATGTCCTATATCATTTTGCTAGATTCGCAATAGTTACCGAAATCTTAATTAACAAAGATCCGCGAATAAACATGCATCGGACTGTCTTACGTGCGTAAGACAGCCCAGCGCACTTCGCACGATTACATTTTAATATGTATATGTTATAGTATACGGTGTTATATTAGCTCCTCCCATATGTTGCTACGGGTAATATCAAAGCGCGCCTGGTTCTCTTATGCGCGTAAGACGAATAAGCACGATGCATGCTTATTTGTTGATCTTTGTTAGTTAAGATCTCGGTAACTACTGCGAATCTAGCAAAATGGTATAAAACTTTTTGACTCAGTTTTACTCCTTCTATTTGTTTACGAGAGATGTTACACCAATTCTGGGACACGCTGTACACACACACACACACACACACACACACACACACACACACACACACACACACACACACACACACACACACAC